TTGGAGTTTGAGGTTGGAGATATGGTGTATCTCAAGATGGCGATGTTGCGTGGTCCTAACATGTCCCTTACCGAGACTAAGCTGAGTCTGAGGTTTATGGGTCCTTTCAGGATTGTGGAGCGGGTTAGACCGGTGGCTTATCGGTTGGAGTTACCTGAGGTGATGCATGCATTTGATAAGGTGTTCCACGTGTCGATGCTGAGGAAGTGTCTTCACAAGGATGATGAGGTGTTGGCTACGATCCCGGCAGATCTTCAGCCTAGCATGACCTTAGAGGCGAGGCCAGTGAGGGTTCTCGAGAGGCAGGTAAAGGAACTTCGACGTAAGAGGAGTCCAGTGGGACTAGGACGGAGTCTTGGAGGAAACTTGGGAGCCAGTGGCCAGGATGAAGGCAAGGTTCTGAAAGTAGTTTGACAAGCAGGTCGAGGAGTACACCGTTTGGCTTGTATGTTTTTGAGTTGTTCGGTTGTATCTCTTTTGTATTTTCATTTTGGTGTAATGATTATGACATTTGAGATTAATAAGATGAGTATTTCTTGAATTGACTTGTGGTGTCATGTGTTAAAGAAATATGTGCGAGTTTCTAAAAATAAAAAGTGTTGGGTTGACGGTTCTATTTTTGGAAAGTCTCGGGGTGGTGGTTAGTATAGCATTGTGATGCTATAAATGGACCACGGGAGGTATATCTGATCGAGAGATATGCTCAGAGGCGTTTAGACTTATTTGCTCGGATATGATATGATGGCCTCGGATGACAATTCGAGTGCACGCTTGAGGGTGACGACCCGAGAGCGAGCGTGAGACTTCCCGGATACCGTAGCTAGAAGGCGGGTGGCCTAATAGTGAGTCGGTATGACTTGAGGGTTGCGACCTGAGAGCGAGGGGAGTGGTGAGACTTCCTGGATACCGTAGTCTAAGGTTGAGGCCTGAGGACGAGCCTGTATGATCCACGGCCCACTGGTTGCGACCTATGGACGGGGGAGGTGGGTGTGTATGAGCAAATAGGGTCTGGAGCGTGAGCATATTGATTAGATAGGGGCCTCAGTGAGTTCAGTTGTGTACTGACGGTTGTGTTGGAGGATTCGAGGACGAATCCTAGTTAGTGGGGGAGAATTGTAACACCCGTGTCCCGTTTTGGGGGGTGTCGATCGACACCACTGTTGGGTGTCGCTCGACACCAGCATGTTTCGGTTTGACCGATTCGTTTTTAATTGCAAAATTGTGTGGTTATTGGGTTGGTTAACCTAGGTCGTGTTTAAAAGAGGGAAGGTCGTGTGTTGTCTCTTCCCAGCCGCTTTTTAACCCTTACAGAGATAGAGAAAAAAGGTTCTAGAGCTTCTGAGGGTTTTTGTGAGTCTTTTGGTGGTGCTTGGTGGTTGATCTTGGTGGTTTAAGGCTAGTAGAGGCTAGATCCGTGTTGTGTGGTGTTAGAGGAGGCAGATCCTTCCTTGTTCTTCCCTGTTTCGTTGATGTTCTTCTTGTTTAAAGACGTAAAAGAAAAGTGTGATCCGTGGAATCATGGCGAGGATAGGACGATGATCTAGGCGCTCATTGGTGTTTTGATTATTGTAGGATTTTTTAGGAGGTTAGAATGGAATTTAGAAGCATGTTCGGATGATTATGGTTCTGGAATAATGATAGTTGATCTCGTTGGTTTAATGGAATTGTTTGATTGGATTTTTATTTAAGTTTTCCGCTGGTTACGCTGATTGGTTGTGTTAGTGAGATTGTCTGGTTTGCTTAAAATGGGTTAATCCGGTTTGCATGTTTTAAAAAAAAGGATGGGTTCTTTCACCTAGAAAGCATTAGCCAGGGTTGGGTCTTCAGATCAGGCTGATGGAGAACCAAAGTGATCTTTGTCTCTACATAGTTCACGTTTGTCTAAACAAGTGATTCAAATAAACGTATTGTTTGTGGAGTGAATTGTTTTTCGTTACTAACCTATTTTTGTATTGATTTTTTTTTTTAAAATGATGTAAAGGAAGTAGGGATAATTATTACATTTGAAAAAAAAGATTATATTAAATATCTATATTAATATTTTTGCAGCATTTTTTGAAAAAAAAACCTTGGTTTTGAAAGTTATTTACAAAACTATGTCATTGGCATTAATTATTTACAAATTTTTTTTAGCATACGTACAACAACCCATATCGAGTAGAATTTGTTTGATAATGGTTCAGAACCTTTATAAATAGGATTATAACCTTCCAACTACAAATGACAGGACTATGAACATGAGATTATTTTTTTGGGGAATATATGACGGGACGGGTTGTAAGACGGGAACAGTTGTTAACTACATATAAAATTTAAAATATTTTACAGATATATAAGAAAATTTTACATATATTGAATATCATATATAAGAAACTTTTTTTTTAGTTAACCCATGGGTTACCCATAACCCTAATGGGTTTACCCCGATAAACCTATGAACCCATTGGACAAACCCATCAAAACTCATTTATTTAAATGGGTTTAAACACTTAACCCATACCCACTAACATAATAGACAACTAGGGTAAACCTAAGAATTATTACCCATTTTGACACGCTTAACCAAGTTTATACGAAAATATTATTGACTTTGCCATTTTTTAAAATATGGATATATTTTTTTGGCGATTATATGACATGAAGGGGTATAACACGTAAAATGTTGTTATATGCTTCCAACATATTATATAATGGGATGGGCTGTAAGACGAAACAAACTTTAATTTGATATTTCTTAAAATATTCTAATATTATTAATCTCACAGTTTAATACGGGTCATTTTACTATTTTATTAACAACACTGATATAAAAACTGTATAATTAAACTGATTTAGTAAAGTTTGAAATTATGCAATCTTAATAATTATTAAATAAACTCCAAAAAAAAACTATCAATTTAAAAAAATACAAATTACAAAGAAAATGTTTATCTCGCGGTGTATCACGGGTCAAAATCTAGTATATTAACATTATTGGAGTACAATTTGACCAAAATTCATTTTTACACTACTTATAAAAAAGCCAATGTCAAAATGGTTAGTTTTGACTTTCATTGGTTCCAGTTAGGGATGTCAAAATGGATAAACCAACTCAAACTAACTCATAATCCAATGAGTTTAGACTTAAATGGTTTATGAGTGGATCAACCCATTAACCCAATTATTTGATGGTTTTAATGCTTAAATGGGTTGACTCATAATAATAAATTAATAAATTAATGTTATTAGATATTATTAATTTAATATCAATATTTATTATTAATAACAATACTAGGTAGTAACCCGTGTCACGGCTCGGCCAATTCGGTTAAGTCAATTTCTGTGTTGATGATTTGTATTTTGAAGATTTTGTATGATTGGGATTTCATGGTCCAGCGAACACTATATACCTATGAGCCTATTATATAGCCTATTATTCAACGTCGATCTCCAGTTCCTATATACAGCCTATAGGATCTTGATTTTAAGGCTCTTGAGCATGTACGTGAATTTTGGAAAGTGTCTTAAAAATAATAAATGTAGATTTATTGATTTTGAGATCCAATTTTAGTCATTTATTTGTCAAAAGTGTCTTATATTTAGCATCCTTTTGTTGGATTTAGACACTCAATGTGTTTTAAAAAACCAAATTAATTATTTTACACACTCATTGAAGTGTTACCATTGAACATGTTAACTGGGTTGTCCCGTCCACTAATTCTTGAAATTTGTCATATTACACTAGTGATGATGAACATGTTGAATCATTCTTTCTAGTTACAAGAAAATGTAACACACAGTTAATCATCATGTCATACATTATAGAAAAAATCTATCTGTTATTATTTTGTTTTGAGAAGCGACTTATAAAGAAAGTAGAAGCATGTTATAAAGAGAGTCTACAGAACCCAAACTCATTCTTTAATGAAGATATTGATTTTCAATTGCTCTTCCAATACAATACTAGAATGTTGGTGGATAAAATATGAAATGTGTTTTTAGTTAGCCTTTTGACTTCCAGCAGTGCTTTATTAGACAATGCGTACTAATATAAGACATATCAATAAATATGTAACGATAAACCACTGAACCCAGTTTCCCAAAAGTTCAACGTAAAGCCAAATCAATTAGAAATCTCCAACTAAGTTCATATGGGGCATAGAAGAATGGACTAGTACTCATTATCCATTTGTTATTTTTTTTTTAATAATCAAAGAGGTTCTGGGCCGAATCTCATACATTCCCTCAGGCTCGAAACCAAAGCATTTTATATGATTTCGTCCCAAGCGCTACTCGAACCGGCGAACTCTAAGCTTTTGCCAGAAATCTTTACCACTTGAGCTATTAGAACTTGGTATTATCCATTTGTTAACTTACGTTGTTGAACTCATTTTCAACTTGCAATGCAATTTCCTTAGACTGGGATTGATCGTTTGACGTCACTATCTTTGTCATCTGAACACCCGACTCTATTTGTAGCTTTCTTCGCCTATCACTACAAGAAAAGTGAATCATTGTGACTTTTGTTAGAGACTAAAATATATAGTCACAAATTTGTGACTTACGTAGATACAATTTTGTAACGTATTTTTTTGTCATAAATTCGTAATTGTTTCGTCACAATATTATAACGAATAAAGTCGTCCCGAATTTTTGTCTCAAGTCGTGACGAAATTGTGTCGATAAAAACTATTGTAACAACTGTGACGATTTTATTACCAATATGTGCTTGTAAATCGTGACTTTAATTTGATACTCAAAATTTGTCACACATTTGTGACTTTTTAAATACTAAATTAAGACCAAAATATTTTGTAACAAATTCGTAATTATTTTGTCATAAGATTGTTACAGATTAATTAACTCATGTAAAAGTTTTCTCAATCATTGACAAAATTGTGAGCATAATTTCATTGTTTATAAAATAATAACAATAAATCTATAAAAATAATATAGGAAAAATAATTATTCTTAAAAGCTAAAAATGCTTCCATTGTTTATAAAGTAAATAAAAATTTGAACTTAAAACTTAAAGCTAAACATCCATCTTAAGCTTGCCTTGTGTGTATCCAACTCATAACTACCACTTAGTCCCTGCTTAAACAACATGAATATAAACACTTAATTTTTTTTTAGTAAAAGCAAAATACATAATTGACAAATATATATATTTTACCTTCGATTGTTGGTATTAGAACTAACAAAAGAGTTAATAAGATCATGCAATTTCTTTAATTCGTCTTCTAGGTAATTGACTCGGCTTTTCAAAGAAATTATCTCTTCTTCAGTGGTTGTTGTTGTAGTGCGATTCTGGTTAGATCTTCTTTTTGTATAACTTTGGTTGTTTGCCGGTTTTCGAAAAAGGCTAGACGTATTTTTGTAATCTTCCTCTATGTCACTTTCATCAATGATTAGATGATCAATTTCTCTAACCTATAAGGAAAATAATTCATCATTTTGATAGAAATTAAAAATAATTCATTATCTAGATAGAGATTAAAAATGGTTCAAAAGTAAGTAGCAACACCTGTGTATGACAAACATCGATTGTACTTTCAGATTTTGTGATTTCTTTCTTTATTTCTGTCTCATATATACATTCACTTTCTCCGGGAATAAGAGATTCAAATCCATCACTTGTATCTAGCATCGGCGATTCATAGACATAGTCCGGAAACCAGTTACCTAAGTGAGGAGGTTCTAATGAAAAATGAATTATATCAAAGTAGATTAGGTTCCCAAAATAAATAGAATACGCAAATAAGGTTTACAAGATGATAAGTGAAATAATATTTACCATAGATCAATGAATCATCAAGACTATCATCTGAAATCTACACAAGTAGTAATCAAACAATAAAAAATGGTTCTAACAAATCAATAACTCAAAATATGAAATAGTTAGATATTATGTTACCTCTTTCATATTGTTGTTGTTAAGAATAACAGAGGTGAAATCTGTGTAAAAGCATCAACGTGAAATATTAGTCAAATAATTTAGAAACTTACGAGCTTTAAACTATTGTATAAGAGCATATAGACATCTCAATATTTGGACCCACAATTCTAATTCCAAATTGCCAAAACAACGTTTCTACAAAAGTAGTGTAATGAAAGGACAAACAATTGACATGATCAAGAAACAACTATCATAGATGGAGATGAAAATAACCTTGTTGAAGTGAAGGCAACGATTCTATATGTTATCTTGTAGACAGAGACGTAGAGGAAGATTAGATATACAGATTTTATGCAGCAGAAAGATTCAGCAAACAGAGGCAAAGACTAGTTCGATTAAATAGGTTTTACTTTTTTGCTAAACCAAAAATTAGGTTGAAAGATTTTTTTTTGTGGGAAACAATAATATTAGGCGGCTAAAATTAGTTAACAAAATATAGACTAGAAATCTAAAAAAGTTAAATATTTTCATTTTATATGGAAAAGAATGCTTCGTCACATATTGTTTTTTGATAATTATCCTTTTAGTATTTTTCTAGATAAATATGATCATATTATTTGTCAAGCTAGTAATATTTTATAATTATTCTATTATATTACTGTGATAATAGGAAATTTATGTGCCTATATATATATTTGACCAAGATCAATAGAAACAGAAAAAAAAAATCTGTAGACTATTAGATAGACATCGAGACCTTTACAAAGGCCAAAACACATATACAAGAGAGGTACGTTTCTTGTCATACAAGTAATCATTAATTTATGTTGGGTACTTTGAATGTCGTGACGTAGAGATTCCTTGTTATTTTTGTTTTAAGTATATTTAAGCTAATTCAGGGTGTGTTGTCTTT